TTTAGCATATATTTTATTACGCGTCTTTATTAGAGTCTGCATGTAACGATTAAGAGTGCCAATGTACGTCGCTATAATTAATTTGTTGGAAACTAGACACTTTTAGATCTCAAGTAACATCTTGTTTCGAGTACTACAGAGGGAGATCACATAAAAACCGGCCGTTCGTGCAAACTCGAATTACTACGCATCGCGTGCGTATCGGGATCGCGCCATCGTCGAGCTCGTTACGGGACGCGCAAAATCCTTTTTGCACCCCGTCGTCCGTTGCGTTTGACCCGTTTCGAGAGATTCCACAATAGGATGAGTGGCGAGCACACGGGGTATGCGGGATCGAGATATCGTATGTGTTCTACGGTGGTCCTGCCGCCGCACACAAGCGGCTCCACGGCAAAGCGCCGACACGCAGCGCTGCGGAATCGTCGAATCCCACTCGATCAGAAGCCGAATGGAAATTAAATGCTCAGTCGACCGTTATGCTGATTGATTTGTATTCTGCGATCTGCTGGCATGGCGAGGAAGTGTGCTAAACTGCGGGATTTATGTTCTCTCCTAATTGCGTCGCTCTTCCCCCTCGTCTGCCCATATCTCGTCTACGCTACTACCCATCCTCCACCCGCTGAGCTAACATCCTTGCTAGATTAATCCGACATTTGATGTGAAACGATATGTTTTTATCATGTAGAGTATCTTGCTTAACAAAGATGTTCAATTAAAGTAATTAAAGTATGTTTAATAATGGAAATACGCGTCTTTTGAAAGTAATATATCGAATAAAATTTCTTTGCAATACCTGTGTTAATTAAAATTTTTTTCGTTTCATTAAAGAATGCAGAGATTTTTGTCAATTATTGCGTTATTGCGCAATATAGCTAATTAAAAATAACTTATTACGAAAGTACACATTCTTTATGGAAGATATAAAAAAATAAATTTATAAAAGAGCATGTAAATAATATTTTTTTTTAAATATGGATAAAAAATGAACTTTAGATATCTTGATCTATCTATATCAACATATATTAGTCGGTTTTTAATCTTATTATTTTTACTCATCTTTTAAGCTTTATTTCTTCTTAAATATTTATAGAACTAATTCACAGAAAAGTTTGTATATGAAAACATATAATAAATAAATGCATGCGATGTAATATATGTACATTCGCAGTGTGTTAAGCTTGAGACCGTGGATTCGCTAAGTCTAAATGATCTATACGGATCAGTCATCCCTGGAAACGTCGAAAGCGAACATGGTATCGACATCTCTTGGGTCTATAAAGAAGTATATATTACTTTATCGATTTACATAAAACAAATTTTTTTCAAGATTTAAAAAATGTGCATATAAATAGCCTATATTTACTTAAATATATAATACTACTATGTAAGTTTGTATTAAATACACATGATATTAATACGTCTACGTATAACCATTTATCTTTATGTATTCATTATTTATATCAATAAATGTATGTTTGATACATATTTCACCATTGATCCTATTAACAAATACAGAAATTTAATTACAATTTTAATGTATTAAGAGTGACTTATCGTCTTTACTAACAGCTAGTCTGTTATCGATAGTCAATAGTTAAATGCTTCTGCAAGAAGCGCTTGGATCAATAACTACATAATCCCATGTTGAGAAACCAACATCTGCATCAAGAAAGTTGCTTTGCTTCCTATTTTACTATTTGCTGATAAGAGCAATCCATGATAATGATACCGGGATATTTAGTTTATCATGTGATAACATTCATATGCTGATAACATTCCACAAGAAACTTTTCAAATAAAAATCAATATTTTAAACTCTATAGGTACACAAGACGCTTGCAACCACGCTGGATTAACTGTCGCTTATGAAACACTGAACGTTACCGTTTGAGGATATCTCTACCTTTATCTTCGTTTTACTCTGATTACTTGCTGCAAGAACCATAGTTGCATAAAAGTTTCTGCTTTTAAACATAGTAGGCAGTAAAGAAGAGATTCATATAAAGTATGAATTTTTCTACAGACAATAAAATATTTTAAATTTTCTTCAATATATGGAAAATATAATCGAGACATGGAATGTAAAATTTTCAATCGTATTTGTTTCATTTTATAATTTTTTTTTTATTAAAATTCATAAAAAAATTATATTTATATAGAACTTCATTATATTATATATAATATATATAATAATTCAAATCAAAATAGCTTAAACAAGGAAATTATTAAATGCTTAATCAAAGAAGCAAATATTAAGTATTTTGATTTACGTATTCGTTATCTGCTACAAATTCGCTCATATATAATGCGGCATATTTGTATAAAGAGGGCACTGAGTAAATCGCGGGGATCGGCGGGTCTTGCATACCAATGAGACTACCACTCAGACTCCTCCTTTTACCCTAATCAGGATGCAGCCCTTGACGCGATGCAACCCCTCCATCTCGACTATTTCTGGAGCCACCGGCTTTACTTTGCTTCGAGGGTTGCGGCACGAAGCGCGCATTGGCCGACTTGGAGGGAGACGGTGATGCAACAGGGGTTGGTGAAACGAGGATCTTAGTACATCCAAGACGGTGGCTGTGGTACGAGGTGTTACATTCCATCCGAGATTTTCAAATTACCAGATTATGCCAAGGAAACTGGCTGGCGCAGCAACTATCTAAGACGCTTAACGTCGTCGACACGGGTCGCATGGTTTTAAATGACGATCATCCTAACACTCCCCTCCCCCCCCCTTTTCCCTCCCCCTTCCTTCCGCGGCTTCTCTTGCCAAGTGGACGAATGAAGTTCGAGATTTAGTAGCTTCTTGCGCCGACAGCGTCTGACGAACGATGCTATTGGCATTAATGATCACATCTTGAATATCCACACTTTCGTTGGCAGACACAGAGAAAAATACTTATTATATATTTATTTATGATTTAATTTAACACAATTTTGAGTTTATTAGTATTAAATAGTGCAATTAAAATTAATAAATGTTCAACATAGAAATATAAATTAAAAACACTGTATCATTATTATATTGATAATGGATTGCATAAATTTACTTAAAATTTTTAACAGAATAATTTGAAAATTTGAGTCATTTTTCTCTATACAATACTATACAATACTTTGCTATATACAATAGCTATATACAACACTTTGATGCAATTCACAATTTAAATTAAAATTTTTTAATTAAATTGTAAAATAAATATAGAAAATAAAACATAAAATTTTTAAATAAATTAAATAAAGATAAATAATTTTCTTCGTATAAATGTATAAACGTATATATGTATAAACGTATATATGTATTGTATATGTATACATAATTTTCTTTGTAAAAAATAATTAAAATAAATTTTTCATTTTTTTCAAAGCAAATCACCATGCAATAAATATAAAATTTAATACAATACTTTGTAAAAAAATAATAATGATTAATTTTTTTTACTAATTATAGGAGCACAATGTTGTCTCAAATTAATATGAAATATTTTCTCTACTTCGTATTGATTTTTAATTTATCCCATAAAAACTTCTTTTTTACTACGAATTTCAAAATAATAATCATTTAAGAGAAACAATCGTGCATTAATTCAACATCCCCTATTTCCAAATTATTCTGAATTATTTAAGTATACGCATTTGTGCGTAGACACAGCATGTTGCAGAGAGAGGTAAACGGTAAAACACAATTAAAACACAATTTCCCTTCTTATTACGATTTCAAAAGCGAACATTCATCTTGCAGCATTATGAATATCGATCGTGGCAACAACACATCTCAGCGTTTTTATTACATTCAAATACTGAACGCCGTCCAATACGATCAAGTAATAATTATTATTACAGGGATCTCACTTCCAACCGGGTCGTTAATATATATAACATCGACCTGGCGATAACGGTTCCGAACTAATTGCTTCTCCCATATTACATTTCATGTCGTTATGTTAAATATTAGTACGGATCAAAACACAGAAATACATGCACAAAGTTAAAACCAATAAAACGCAAATGCGTTTTCCCATCATATTCTCGATATTAAATACAGCTGAATTTAATCCTTTGCAGATCCTATATCAAAGTGAATTCAATATGATGGTTTACGGCAGTCTTTACCGCTCCTTTTTTTTCGAATGATGCTCTATTCGTTGAAATTAATTTGAAGCGCGTAGAATTGGATTTTGGTTTTTATATTTGTACATCAAATACAAGAATCCTACAAATTCAATGTGTTCTCTCGATAAAATTCGGAGAGAGAAAAAGTACTAGGAGAAAGGGGAGGGGGGGAAGTGGAGAAGGGTAAGAAAGAGAAGAAAGAATTTAATTTCAGCTCTAAATAAACTTTTACAGCGTAGCGCAAGTAGAGTCGTAATGTTTTGAAACGTACGAAAGGGCAACGTACTGAAGCCCGTTATGTCAGACAATTCTATCAGCTATCGGCAACTCGATTCCACGGTTTTTACGCTCGCGATCGTGGAAAGCGCGAGATCACTCATGCGATACGCACGGCACAGATAATATCGCGCCGTTCGATCGATGGTACGGCTTGACGGCGAAGCGCAATCGATCAGGTTGCCATTGTTGACGAGCCCGATCGACGAAATCCGGCGTGACTTCCTTGATGACGAAAAGATCGCCTTTACGTAAGACGACAGTTTGAATGACACAATCGCCGGTTCTTTCTAATTTCTTAGATCAATAGATCGTTTGATCGACGACCGGTCTAAAATCTCGGACGGGCATTCGCACGATGCGGTTCTTTTCCTTCGGCGACGGACTGCCGTGGAAGATGTTGCGAAATTAGCGAGGCGCAAGCCAAATTGCTCGTTTAAGTGATTGGCTACAGCGACGACTTGCAAGATACGAATACATGCAATTGCGCTGCTTCTGTCAGAAGGATCTTATTTCAGAAGGTGGGAGCGATATAAAAGATTCTGCGGGACAGATTGAACGGGCAAGGAATCATTGAAACCGACGAGATTAAAGTAATCTGCCGCGAGATGTATTGGAAACTGTTTGTGTCACTGCTGCCGCACCTGCTTGTTGGTAACTGCCTGGCCAGATCTGTCATTTACGAAAATGTCGAGGACGATGTCGCAGCCGTTGGCTCCCTCATTCGCGAGGTACGTCAACCGGCGCCATTAAAATTCTTTGCGGAAGGGAGAGACCTAATGAGCGCCGGTAACGCACCGAAGTCACAAGATACTAAAAAACGCACGAAAAACGCATCTGGTATGTTCTTCATTAGCTATTGTTTCTAATAGAATATATAGTGTTACAAAATATATAGCCTAGAAAGTCATATATAATCTTACATGTATATATATATATATATATCAAATATAATCAAATTTATCAAATATTAGCATGTAATGATTTAATTAATTATAGAGAAATCAACAAATAAGTTGAAAGGAGCATATTGTATCTAAGAAATTTAGTTATAATTTATATTGTTTCTCTCTCTATATTTCTCTCTTTCCGAGATATATCGTATTAATGTTTATCGCCGAGTGCTGAATTTCGGGAAAGCGTTAGATGTCTTGTTGAGCGTAACAAGGGCGGACAACAATGTGGTTTTAGGCAAATCAGACGAGGGTGGTTACTACAGAACCTACGGGAGCGATGCGGAGGGTGAGAAGGGTTACTTGAAGGAAACCTACGGTAAAGGTGATCACGGCTACAAGACTCTCGACACCTTCCACAAACAGGATGGCGACAAATACGAATTTGAGACGGAAACGGCTTACGGCAAGGCCAAGACTGACGATAATCGCAAGAAGCATAACGAGAAAAAGAATCGCGACCACGAGAGCGCAGGTAAGGAATCGTCAAATTGTAATTTACCAATCAAACAGTAGATACTAACGCGACGATCTGAAAAGAAAAACACGAAAATTCTAATCGGCAAAAGGTTCTGAATCAGCTGCTATTCTCGCTTTACTTATCTCACGAAATATATACATATACGTGTGTGTCGCTAAATTATTACTCTCGTCAATTTAACGATAAAATGAAATTATCTCTGATAAAATTTAATCAAACTGTAGAAACACGACAGTCCATAAAGCACCAAAGCGCTTTGATATAAATGTTGCGAATAAAGTGAAACTATTCTTCGTTATAGTACTCGGGAATTTAATACGATATGAAAATTATAGGTACTATGATTGATACGGACTATGCCGGTGAGGCGAGCGATCACGGTGAAGGAAGCGAATACTCGCACTACACAGGAGGCGACGATGGAGATCATTACAGTAGCCATTACACGGAGAAAGAGCCGGAATCTCACAGCCACAACGAACATTATTCCTCGGGAGGTGGTGACGACGGATCTTACGAAACGCACAGCTCTTACAGCTCCGACGGGGAAGAAGAAGAGGGAGACGATTATTAATTTTATCAGTGTACATCACTTTAATGTTCAGTCTTAATTGGAGCTTTTTTTTTCTTTTCAATTTCAACCGCAACCTCTGTTAAATATTAATATTGTATCGCATATAAAATACGCGCGTTATCACTAGGAATTATCTAAAATAATAGTGCACATATATTTGTGTATATGCATAGATATAACTTTTTAACAAAAACAATGTATACCTCGCGCGCATGCATATACACACACATTCTCTATTATGTTACAAGCGATTAATACTTACTTTGCAACGGTAAATTTGTAATATAGATCGATTGTAATAATAATTTATGCTTAACAGCCAATGAAGTATTATCATCGATAATACCTATGTGTATTGATTTTGCTTGTTAGCTTTAAACTTCTTCTGTACTACCTACATAATGGTAATAAGCAGTATTTATTCGTAACTGCCGTAATTATTTTTATGCAAATGATTTATCGATACCTTTAATTAAAAGATGTGAGAAATCTTTTGCATCGACGCGTGGCGTTAAAACAATGTAGAATAAAGCACGCCGCCGGCGAAATCGAATGCTACATTAATATTATAACAGCGTTTCCATTATGAAATTTGCCTTTACGCTTTCGCGCTCGGATCGATCGCGAAAGTACGAGCGTACGCTCGAAATTACCGCCCCGGCGAAACTTGTTACATTAGCAATGTCCGTGCATGATCGATTATCAACAGCTAATCCATTCTGGGGTACATTTCGCGTTGCATGCAAATAGTTCGTTCTCACGGTATGGATGGATAGGTACGTATCTGTTCGTTGAAACGTTAATCCATTAAGTGGTTCATTTCTTCTCATCGAGAAACGCATCTCCAATGTACGTGCAATTAAAGATGCGCAAGAATGAGTACGCGCGTTTCGCGCAGAATAAATGTCTCCCTAATTAGATTCCGAGGAATGGAAATATGGCGGAAGAGGAGGACGGAGGATTTTTCTTCTCTCCGCAAAGAAGAAGTAAAGTTACACGACTTAATACCGCGGTAGCCGACACGCCATTTATTTCTTCGCGTTAACGCGATTCAGCTTTTACTTGCCGTACGACATTCACTTATACAGGATAAGGTATTCGATTCGAATAAATTACGCTGCACCGTGGCAACGTTTATTACACGCACTAGCTACACCGACTAATCAAATTGTCGTTTAATCCCTCCGCGTGAATGTACGAACGTAGTTTGGTTTGTTGCGGAGAGTAGTTCTAATTTCTAATTTAACATCACCCGAGGGTCGCAGAAGCAATAACTTGTTCTCTGTCTTTGTCAAGCTTTGAATCGGTTGCGCTTCAACTGTATAATTCACGCAAAAAGCAAATAGGTTTTCGAATTCTATTTCACCAACGATTATAGATCCAATTTAATTACGCGCTTAATAATGGAGGCTCGAATCGCATTAGATATTCGCAAATGTTCG